GGCTGTTTCAAGAGCTTTTGTTCTTGCAGGAGTGGTGACACTGCTTTCAGATTATGAAGTCTGCAAAGAAGGGGACATTCTGACCCCCGAGCAAGCACGGGTCCTGGTGAGAATGCAACACAGCCCTGCAGGCACAGTCACTGCCCCAGGGAAATGCACTGTTCTGTGTGGTTCTCACTATCAGCTTACCTAATATCTGTACCATTGGCCTGGCCGCGGGGATGACGAGTGTGTGTCCTTTCCTAGAAACTCTTCGGCTACGAGATGGCAGAGTTCAAAGTGACCATCAAATTCCTGTGGAATTCTGAGACCGGAGACTTCCAGAAACTCGCAGGAGATGAGGAGGAAGAGGAGGAAGAGGAGGAAGAAGAGGAGGATGTTGACATCAGTGAGGACTCGTAGCAGTCCTTGTGCTCGGACACTAGACAGCTCTATTTTAGAGCTGAAAGATGAGGATGTTTTCCTTCCCTGTCTGCAGCAGGACATGCGATTAACTCGACATTCTTAAAGATGATCTAACTACCTTTTATATAAAAACATATATAAAACTCTCAGAAATTGCCAGTGCTGCCTGTTATTGAGTACAGTGGGATCTGAGGAATGGGAGATACGTTTCAGGCCCAAGTTGGCCTCCACAGCTCGTGGGGAGCCAGCTCTGCCCTGTGCCACAGTTCTGCTTCACTAGGGTCAGTTTTAGCTCTGCAGGCATTTTGGCTCAGTTTTTTTTCTGAGCTGGAAAGCAGACTAAAGCTCTGCTATTAAGAGACAATGACTGCATTAGAAAAAATGATTTATTCTCATCCACGCTCAAGATTCATTATTAACCGAAAGCAGAACTAAACCCTTCAGTTATGTGCTCCACTTCCCTTGATTAAGTGCATTTTTAATCACAGCATGTGCTGGGGAAAGGTCCCCGAGGGGAGAAAGCACGAGGCCCCACGCCTGCAGTGCTGGCAGGGGCAGTGTGGGCACAGAACGGCCGGTCCTACAAAGCTCCATTAAAGGGACAAATCACAGCCTGCCACCCCGAGGGCAGTGTGGATGAGAGCCTCACATTTATGCTCCCTACTGCTCGGCTGCCTGCTCTTCCCTCCCCAGTCTAGCGGAAGTAGTTGGGGCAGTCGTGTGCAGTCAGCTTCCAGGCTTTGTCAAACGCCTCCACTACAGCTGGAAGCAGTGGGCCCTCCTCACTGTAGTTCAGATTCTGCTCCAGCTGCTCCATGTTGGACATCCCAATGATCACCATGTCTCCAAGAGCGCCCTGTGAAGCCAGAAGGGGAATCGTTCATCCCAAAATAAGCCCAGCTTGCCTCCCCAGCCAAAATTCTGAATGCTGTTCAACTCTGACCTGCAGCTTGGAGTGGTGGTACAACCAACGCAGTGCGGCCGAGGTCAGGCTTGGTGCATTGGAACCATAAGCATCTTTCAGAGCTTTTTCTACTAGTTCAATTCCTTCAAAGTTGTGCTTCTTCCAGTACCTGCAAGAAGGAAAAAATAAATAAATCAACATCACTGCCCTCGAGAATCATAAATTCCAAGCAAGCGTAAAAGGCCTCTGAAAAAGCTTTGTACAGCTGTTTGTAGCCCCCAGGCTTCTGCAATCCAGGCAGGGGGAAGCTGACCCTAAAAACTGCTCTGCAAAGCTCAGTCACGAGGCACAGCCCAACCGCCTCTGAAAGGAGGAAGCGAGGTGCTCTGTGTCCCCAACCCTGGGTGGCAGCATCACCGAGAAAGGACACGAGCCTGCAGAATCACAGGGTGAGCTTGAGTCTGTTCTGCTCCCTCCCAGCTGATTGTTAGGATTTGGGTGGTTTTGTTTAAATGCAGCCCCAGCTCCCTGTTCATCAGCTCAGGACACACCTGTCCCTGTAGACTTGAGCCCAGTCATTCCCAAAAAATCTTCCAGTGGGCTGACGTGTGTCTTTGTCCTCATACTTGTACTTCCCAGTCAGCAGCCCTCCTGCAAAGTGCCAGCAGCATGTTTAGCACCAGCTCTTACGCTGCCCTCCAAGGCACCGCCTCGTCTGCGAGCCTCCGCGCCCAGCCAGGCATCTCCAATCCAGGTGACACCTTAACAAACCCCGTGGCCACTTTCGGTTACCCACAGCCACATCCCTCCCGTCACAGCTCCCCCTACCAGCCAACGGATTGTAGGCGTAGAACCGCAGCCCGTAGTGTCTCAGACAAGGCAACAGCTCCAGCTCCACCTGCCGGGTGGTTGCGTTGTACATGCCCTGCACAAAGACAGAGCACGGGGTGGCCTCAGACCTCCCAGCACAAATCCTGGCTGCTAAAACACGACCTGGATTTGCTTATCAGGTGGTACCAGGGTGACATCTAGCAGTGACCCCAACCTGCCTGCCAGCAGTGCAGTTTACAGGTAGAGTTATGCATTTCTATGCTTCATCCTGCTTTTCCTCTCATTTTAATGGCTGCTCACAAACAAAACCCAACATCCTGGGATCTGCCCTTGCAGCACATGCACAGCCTGGCAAAATAATTCTGCGTTTCACCAAGACAAACAACTGCAGCAGCAAAATTCCTCCTCAGAAATGTGATTCCCTTTAACAGTGGTGGGGTGTTTGATCAATGGTGCTTTAAAGAAGCCAGGACAGCTTCTTCCCCACCCTTCTCTGAGTTCTCTTACCCAGAAGGGTGGATTCAGGTCAGACAACATGATTAATTCCCTAGGAACAGACTTTCTAAAGGACTGCAAACAATGCAACAATGACTTCAGTTCCCTATCACGAGAGTCACTGACTCAAGCACTAAGCACACACTCAGCTCTTTCTGGGAAGTGATCTCACCCAGCTCTCTAAATCCATGTCCCAAAAGGACTCCCTGGGCTAACTGCAGCAGCTCCCCTGTGCTTGTAACACAGAGCACAGGGTTCCCACAGACCTCACCTGGTACACAGTTGGCATCAGCCAGTTGTTGTACTTGCAGATGGTGCAGATTTCTGCCACCTCCCACGCTGCGTAGTTCGACAGGCCGAGTTCTTTAAACTTTCCCTGCAGAGGAACAAAAAAGCATTCAGATCCAGCTTTTAAAACAGTTTACCTATGAAATGAAAACCTATGAAATGCAAAATGTGTATGGTGAAGGGGACACCACTGAAAGTCAGCCCAGAGCTCTCTGTTGGTCCCACTGCAATGTAACACCTGACAAAAACATAACCCTCATTTCATGTTTTGAATTCACACCTTCCAGTTTCAATTCTCAGACTAATGGAGTTGATGAATTCTTCCCTGCCCATTATGAGAATAACATTAACTGGCTCAGTTAACACAGCAGAAAGCAAAGTTCATCAGTTCCAACATTTTCCAATGCTCCTGAAGGCAAAGGGCACCACGTGAACATGCAGCAGTGCTGCAGCTCCTGGCACTCCCCTGGTCACCTGGCCTCCTTCCCCTGAGCACCACGCACACCCTGCACTGCACAGGAGCACAGCAAGCACTGAAAAAGTGTCAGGAAGGAAACAAGCAGCAGCCCCAGCTCTGCTTTACCTCCTTGTGCAGCTCATTGCAGGCACGCAGCGTTTCCTCCACTGGGGTCCCGTGGTCGGGAGCATGGAGGTAGAAGAGTTCAACGCTCGTCCTCTGCAGCCTCTCCAGGGATGTGTTCAGCTGTGACCGCACACTCTCTGGCTTCAGTGTCTTCCCTTCCCAGGGGTTGGCCTTGGTGGCCACTTCCACTGCAAAGGGAAAGGAGGAATGAGCAGTGATGTTCCCAAACCCAGATGGGAATGGGGTACAGTGTGCTCAGGGTGCTTTCAAAGCACGTTCTTCCTGGAAACACAATGTCAGTGGGACCCTCTTCCTTGGGGTGAGGGTCTGCCCCCAAAATCAAAGGCCCTTTTCCTCAGAAATACGTCAGCCTGCAGAGGGAGGTTCTTCTCCTCAGGGATTGGGGGTCTGCATACAAACCAGGCTCTATTTTCCTTAGAAATACCTCAGGATAACAGAGGAGACCCTTCTCCTTGAGGCCCTGGGATTTGCCCTAAAATTCAAAGCCCCTTTTCCTCAGAAATACACCAGCACAGTGGGAGGACCCTTCTCCTCACAGACCAGGAGTTCTGCAATGCAAACCAAGGTCTGTTTTTCTCAGAAATGCTGAGCAGAGGCCCTATTCCTCAGGAAGACTGCCTTGGAAATGGGGACCACCATGGAAACGGAGCCCTTCTCCTCAAGAATCAGGGCTCTACCATACAAACCACGGCCTCTTTACCTCAGAAACACCTCAGTCCAGCAAAGAAAGCCCTTCTCCTCTGGAATCAGGGACCAACGGTTCAAAACCAGTCCCTTTTACCTCAGCAATCAGGGACTCCCTTCTCCTCGGGGCCGGGGGGAGACACCTCCCCCCACATAACGCCACAGACCGCGCTTTTCTCCTCACAACCCGCCCCGTACCGGACTGCTCCTCGCCGGCCAGCAGCGTGCCGAGGACGCGCTCGGACTCCCCGCCCGCGTACATATAGGCGGTATCGAGCAGGCGGTGTCCGCGCCGCAGGAAGGCGCGCAACATGGCGGAGCTCGCCTCAGGGCCCGCGCGCCGCCCCATCTCCAACGCGCCCAGCACGATCCCCGGCCGCGATCCGCCCGCCGCCATCTTGCCGCCGCCACTGCGCATGCGCGGGGAGAGAGGGAGGAGCTCGCCGTGCCCACACTGCGCATGCGCGTGGGGAGGGTCAGGCCCCGCCCGCTTCGCGAGTGGGAGGGGCAGTGTGAGAGCGCGCATGCGCAGTGCGGCCCCGCCGGATCTTAGGATCTCATTGCGAAAACGGGTGGATTTGGGAAAAACAGCCGAAGTTTGGCGGAACGCCGCTGTTTGGCCCCGAAAGCCGGCGGTTTGTAAGGAATCAGCGCGCTTCTGGGGAGAGCGGAACTTCCAGAAAGAAAAAGAAAGACAACAACAAAAAACAACGACAAAAAACAACAACATCCCAACTTCTGGAAAGCAGCAGATTTCTCAAAAAGTAACTTTTTCCCCTTAAAAACAAACAAACAAACAAAAACAAACCAAAAGCGGCGAGCGAGGTAAGGGGGTGATGGTGCGGTTCGGGCTTCGTTACAACCAACCTCAGCTCGGTCGGGTGACCGTCGCGCATAAATGTTCTTCCAGGCGTTACCTCCTTTTCTGCCCGTATTTTCCGTTTCCCCATGGCGGAGGGGCTCTGGGCATCGCCTCCACCCGGCAATGGCTCCGACTGCCCCGACGGCGCCCGCTGGGTGCTGCGGCTGCTGGGCGAGTGCGCACGGGACGGGCGCGATGTGGGCAGCGCGCTGCTGGGGCTGATCTCCATCGGCTGCTTCGCTGCTGCCGCGCTGCCGTGAGTGCCCAGCTTTGGGGTTGGGTTGGAGGGACGTGGGGGACGAGGAAGGGGTCGTGGGAGACAGTTCTGGTGATCTGGGTGTGCTGAGTGTGGAGGAAATGGAGGTGGCTTCCAGCCAAAGCCAACCTGTGGGTGTGTGATCTTGAAGGACCCTCCCAACCCAACCATCCTGTGGTTCTACATTATCTTGAAGGACCCTCCCAACCCAACCATCCCATGGTTCTACATTATCTTTAAGGACCCTCCCAACCCAACCATCCTGTGGTTCTATGGTCCCTAAGGTCCCTTCTAACCTAACTCTTCCAACCCAAGCCATTCTAGAGCTCTCGTTACAATCTGTGCTCCAGCTCTTTGCCCCCACTCTCAGTCAGGCCTCACGTTTGAGTGCTGGGAGCAAGAGAAAAACCCCACGAGGTCCTCAGGGGGTATGGAACAGGTTGGAGCTGATGCTTTGTGTCCTTCCTGCAGGCAGTTCTACCAAGCCTGCAAGACAGGCATCATGGACCGGGCGCTCTCCATCTACTTCCTGCTGGGCTGGCTCGGTGGAGACCTCCTGAACCTCATCGGCTCCTTCCTGGCAAACCAGCTGCCCCTGCAGGTACCCTCAGCTCTGCCCTGCATCGCTCCCCTGTCCCCAAGGCTGGGGTCTGGGTGTGCTCAGAGCTCCCATCCTTGTTCTGCAGGTGTACACCGCTGTGTACTACGTGCTGGCAGACCTGGTGATGCTTTCCCTGTACGGTTATTATAAAGCCAAGAACTGGGGTGCAGGAGGTGAGCTGTGGCTAATGCCCATCTGTGGGGACATAAGTGGGGCGAGGGGACCTTGGGAACGTCCCCAAGGTGTGGGGTGCCCCATCCCTTGGTGTTCAAGGCCAGGTTGGGGGTTGGAACTGGGTGATATTTGTGATTCCCTCCAACCTAAGCCATTCTGTGACAAAAACAGAGCCCCTCTTACCCCTGTCCCTTAGCTGGGTGGGCTGCAGGGTTGGGGCAGCGTGGCAGAATAGTTAGCAAAAAGCTTCGAGTGATTTTAACCCTAAACCACAGAAACTGCTGAGATAGGAGTGGTTTCCTCCCCGCTAAGTTACAAATGGCTCTTATCACTGAGATAAAAACCCACATGCCCCACTGCTGGATCCCAACGCCGCAGATGGAGATAAGAGGGCTCAGACTCGCTCCCAGCACCAGACCCAGCCCTGCAGAAGGAACAGCCCACCTCAAGTATCCCCCACTTGTCTCCCCACAGCCACAGCTTCCATCAACGCCGCCTGCCTCTTCTCCCTGCTGGGAACAGCCACGACCCTCACGGTGCTGAGCCGCGACGCAGGCCCAGCCCTCGATCCTGCGGCCTTCAGAGGGAGATCTCTGCTCTCCTTGGGCCCGGAGGGGCCTGGCCCTGAGGTGGGACATGGGGGTGGCTGGGGGAGTCCCAGTGTGGGTGGCTGTGAGGCCTTGCTCAGGGCTGACCTTGTCCACAGCCCATCAGCAAGACTGAGATCATCGGCTTCACCATCGGCTCCGTCTCCTCCGTGCTGTACCTCTGCTCCCGGCTCCCCCAGATCTACACCAACGTAAGTGAGGGCAGTAGGCACACACAGTCTTGGTCTGAACAGGGCAGTGAGTTTCTTCCTTCCTCTTTGCTTGCTGGCTGCAGCTCCCTTATTTCTCACTGTGTCACAGCATGCTCTGAAGCCCGATTCATTTTCCTTCCCCTCTGACATAACAATATTGTCAGCGTGGAGCTTTCTTTTTTTTCAACATCTGCCAGCAAAAAGGGAACCAAAAGGCACTCAGCACTGCGTCAGTTCCCATTTTCTCTTTTCCCATGGCAGGATGATTAACACCAAATGGATAAGTAGATTTCAGAGCTTATTTCCATGTAACACAGCCTCTCCTTCCAGTACCGGAGGAAATCCACGGCCGGTGTCTCCTTCCTGCTCTTTGCCCTGGTGATGCTGGGGAACTTGCTGTACGGCACCAGTGTGCTGCTGAAGAACCCGGAGCCAGGGCAGAGCGAAGGTGACTACATCCTGCATCACCTGCCCTGGCTCATCGGCAGCCTGGGTGTCCTCTCCCTGGATGTCATCGTATCCTTTTCTCCTCCATGTTTTCCTTCAGGGTGGGGATGGTTTTTGGGGCTGTGACTTCCTGCATCCCATGCTTGTAACTAATGCAGTGATGCAAGAGCTGAATGCTTTGCTTATAGCTGTATTCAGCTCATTGTTCTCACGTTGCAAACGGCCTCTTCAGGCTTGTTGTGCCGATCCTCACCTTGCAAAGATCCTTAAGGCCTCCTCAGATCTCGTTCCAGTTCCTCGCCTATCGCACAGGACGGCCCAGCGCTGGTGAGGAGCGAGAAGCACTGCTTGCTGAGCACGGTGACAGCTGACAGGGTGACCGCAGCGCTCCTGGTCCTGTCCTCTTCTCTGTGTGGTGCTGGGGAGAGGGGGATGCAGGGCAGAGATGGATTGGTGCTGCTGAGACGTTCTGCCTGGCCTGGTGGCACGCACTGCTGCTGTGAGACCTCGAGCACCACCACCAGCGGTGGATCAACGAGAAAGCAATCAGATACCTCAGGAGGTCGCCTTTCCCTGTGCTGAGCCCTGCAGAGGGCGTGGGGTGGCCGACCATCACTGTGTGGTTCTTGTGTTGCTGCCTTTGGACTTTTGGAAGACGGGGCAGCGACTGGAACCCCTTGGAACAAGGAAAGGAAGGTGCAGGGCAGCCAAAGCGTTTCACGTTATTGGTATGGCTCAGGCTTCCATAAAACATTGCCCCACGTGCCTTTGTGTTCTGTTGGTTCATGTGTCAGTTCCTTGCCTCTTAATTGTTCTCATTAGTCCCCATTTCCATGAAACGCTTGGACTCTTCATCTTGTCTTACCCCTGTTTTGTTCATATGGGATTTGGGAGAAGCTGGTCTGTTGTCCTGGTGTGAGACAGGAGCGTGCAGGGAGGAGGTTCAGCACTCTCAGACTCCAGGAGCAAGGAGGTCAAGTGCTGGGAAGCAACCAGCACTGAATGCAGCCCTCTTGACATTGCCAACACAGCCCTGTTACAGCAAGGCTGAAAGGAAACCAGCACAGTTTGTCCCACACATGGGAACTTTCCTACGCTTTCCATTCGCTCGTCTTTTTCTTCCCCTTTTTTCACTCTCCAGCTTTCCTACCACCACGCCACTCGCCTTTCCCTGCCCTCCCAAGGAAGGCACAGAGCCTGGATGCTACGTGGGACTGCTTGACACCACTGCAACAGCAGTTAATTAAAACCACAGCAGCCCGTGGTTGGAGCTCACCCCTTTGTTTCCAGACTCCTCGACCTTCCTGAAACAGAGTGGTGAGTTTTTCTCCTCTGTTCCATGGCAGTTTCCCCAGCAGGGCTCGCTTTCCTCTTGCCTCCCTCCAGCTGCTCTCCTGGCCAAGCACGGGTTAGCAAAGGTTTTCTTGAAGCTGGAAGAACCTCGACCTAAGGAGATATAAAAACAAAAGTCATTCACCCAGCGTAACCAAAGCACAAGTCGTGGGGCACCCAGCTCTCTGCATCTGGCAGCAGGTGGAAGCACACAGTGCAGAGCAGCCCAATGAGGGTCCTGCTGAGGTTCTGGTCCCTCTGAGGCTGTGATGCAGCCCTGTTCCCAAACGAATGTGCTGTTTCCCATTTTGGGAAGAGTTTGGGTGTCACGTTGAAATGGCAAAGGCACAGCTATAAACCAACTTGTCCCAAAATCCAAACAAAACTCAGCAGCAGGCTTAGGCCAGCAGAAGCTGCAGATAACCACGCTGGTAGGTGATGCTGCTGTGAGCCTAGAAAGGAATGAATGGCTGCAGCTCAGCCCTCTCAAACTGCTCAGTGAAAGGGACACATCCCTGCACAAGGGCCACAGGGAGCATGGATGCCACAAGTACGTTAAGCCCATGGGGGCTCCGTTTCATTTGTGGCTCGAGTGCAGGCAGGTGGCTTTGGAGGAGGTGAAGAAGTCCCAAAAACAAGCACGCACAGATGTGAGCTGCAATTGGGTCTCAGGAGCAGAACGCTGCCTCTCCCCCACCCGGCTCACACACTGCTGTTAAGCTTCAGGAGTTCCCATGAGCTTATCTCCAACTTCACAAAACAGGGAACAAAGCTCACAAACCACACACAAAGCAGAGGAGCAGCTCTTAAAGAGCATCACCATCAGAAGCACCTCACCTGAACCCACCGAGCAGCCATGGCTCCAGACACCCCTTCCTCCTCCGCCTGCAACAAGCCAGTCCCCCCAGCAAAGCGCCCTCACCCTGCTCTCAGTGCATCAGCTGGATGCTAACGCAGCAGGGCGACCCAGCCTACAGCAATCCTGCTCAGAACAAATGCATTTCAGCTTTTTAACCTCTTAAAGCCACGTAACACAGCAGCTGTTTGCGTTACAGCTGGGCTTGGTGCTCCCAAGCACACATCTACCATCCAGAAGCATTCACAGAACCAACCCCGAGCACCGCAGCAGGAAGGAAGGAAGGAAGGACGACACCGACTGCACACACTGCTTCCTGGGATTTGTTTTTATTTTCATTTTTTTAGTCTTTTTTTTTTCTTTTTTTTTTTTAGTATGGAGGCTCAAGTATCAGATGTAGATTCAATTTAAGCTTTACAAAAAAAAAAAAAAAAAAGAAAAGAAAAATCAAAACAAAACAAAACAACCCTTTTGCATTCCATAAAAATTGACAGAAAAGCGCCTTGGAACCAGGCTGTAGAAGAGCAGAACGTTCAGCAGGTCTCCTAATCAATGTCTCCTTGCAAATCTGGTTTAGTCAGTATAGTACAACACCAAGGAACAACCTCTCTTCCCTCCCTCCCAGCAGCCATCCCCTGTGCCCAACCCCCACCAAACACACGTGGAATAGATTTGTTTTTTCTTCTTGTTTCCAGTTCTTCCTCTTTCACACACCACAGTATTTAATAAATTTTTTTTTGTTTGTTTTACATTTTTTACACCAATGTAACAAAAGGCAGGAGGGGGATGGGGGAGGAAAAGACAAACAATGATCCGTGTGTATGCGTATCAATGGGGGAGGGTGGAAGAGGAAAAAAAATACATGGGCTTCTACAGAAACATAGCCTAAGGTCTCAATAGCAAAATGTGGTGCAAAGTAGGCCTCAGAGACTGAAAAAGTTTGTACAGCTTTATTCATGGGGAGAAGATGGCGTTGCATGAATAGTATTGAATGCAAATCGTGACGTGACGTAACAGAAAAGGTCAGGGGGATGAGTTTTCTAAGAAAGGAATCTAACGAGTGCATGGCATGTCTTGTTAGCACGGAGAGTACTTTAACTTTGCTGCTTTCTCTTCAAAGCCTCCACCAGGTCATTTTTAAGAGCTTCTTGTTTTGATTTGTCTGCAAAAGTCTGCACAGACCTGCGGGGAAGAAGGAGACACAAGTCAGAGGCGATGCTCTTGAACGAGGGTTTCCACCAGCTCTTCTGGCATGGGAGCAATAGCAGAAGCACCTCAACCCAGGCTTAGAGAAAACAAAACTCAGCTTGCCTGTTTTAATACAGAAAACAGAAGGCAAAGTGAACACTTCAGTGCTTATGTCAGAGAGAAGCCTGTAAGAAGTTAAGCACCAAGAGATGCTTCCAGCAGTTGCACCCCACCTCCAGCTGCTGGAGGGAGAGTCCCACCGTTGGATGTTACAGGTTGGAAAACCCCAGGACACCACCAGCAGAAGGTGTTAGTGCTCTCACTCTCAAAAGGACCACAACAGGAAAGTGGAGAAGTCCAGCCTCTGCCAACAGAAGTGAAATCCCAGCTCTGGGAGCTCCTTTCTGCACACTGTTCACCCAGGATACAGCAGCCACGTCAAAACCTCTTCCAGCAAACTCACCAATGGGAAAAGCACTCAGGGTTTGTTCTTGAATTTGCTTTTCCAGCTTATACCCTGCCTACAGTAATCAGTGAATCAAGTTGGCAAGATTACTGCAGGGGCTCCTTTTTGCTACCCGTTTGGTTACAAAGAGCTGCACCTTCCAGCCATCTGGGCTCACTGCTCTGCAAGAGAACTGCAGAGGAACCTCGCTTTCTGATGCTACAACTTCCAATTTCAAGAGAACAAACTTTTCAACATGATCATCCACAGAATGACACTACCAGGCCTTTCTGCTAGCACAGAAGCAGTGAGGATGCAGTTTGGGAGGATTTATACCCACATAAGCCATATTTCACACCCTCCTCCGTGCTCCAAGCTACCTCATTTTGCCTGGATGCCACCTCCTGTAAACAAGGCTGCTCTGTGCCTCAGTTATTTTCCTAACATTTTTCTTGCAGTTATTTCCATTCTCTTGTCTCTGGAGACTTCCACTGCCTTCATAAAAATATATACATTTTATATTTGCATTTGTCCCAGGCTAAAGAAGTGGTTCTCAGCCATTATCAACAAACAGTGCATTTTCCCCTTCGTCAGCTGAACGTGTTTAAGACAACATCTGTAATTCATTACCAGTTGCAGTGGAAGGTTAAACTGGCTCAGGGTTAGTCACTGCCGTGTGTCCTGGACATTCAGAGCTCCAGAGCAAATGAGAGCATATGAACAAATCCCATTGGAGGCTGCGCAGCACTCAGCAGAGCTTGAGCAGGACTGGATTTTCAAGCTCCAATTGAAGATACACCAAGCACTACGGGATGTGCATGGAGGGGAAACTGACTCAGAAGCACCACAGGCAGAGGTGTTTTCTTGCCCAGACTTTCAAAATGTTATTCCTTTCTGCAAGGAGGACTTGAAGATTACAAGGAATCTCTTCACTGGAGCGGTGTGCCACAGCTGTACAAACTAATGGTGCTCAAGGGACAGAGTCCCAGGGCTTGTGGAGGCAGTGAGCCCAAGCTAACAGCGCTCTGGGTAAATGACCATGTGCTCCTTTCTTGCTCCCAAGCTACAGTGCAAAGTGGTAAGGCCTGCCCCATTTCAGAGCGTGACATTTCAAATGGAGCAGAAACACCTCGAGTAAAACCACACCGTTTAGTCGGCTGTGTTAAGAGTAACCCTTGGGTGAAGGATGGGTCGGATGTCGTTGGTCAGTCTGCAGCAGTTAGGGGTTAGTTCTGCCCTCAGTTATCATGCAGAGGTCTCGGCTGGGTGAGTCCTGGTTTAGTGCTGGTTGTCACACCTGGCAGGGTACCTGGATTGGTTTAGTTATCAGGCTGGATGTAGATCTGGCGCTGGGTCAACACTTGAGAAAGTTCTCTCTGCAACTGCTTATACTTTTGGTTGTCGGGGATTGCATCAATAGATCTACAGAGAGCAGTTTAGAAACGAGGGAAGTAAACAGGGAAAAGAACAGTCAGAAGAAATCAGGTAACACAGCTGGTATTCTGGAACCCACTGGAAACGTAGGGAGAAAAAATGTAAAATCACAAGTTGGAAGAAACAGGAAAAAGGCAAGAGGAAAAGGCACAGCTGGATGCTCTGCGTGGTACCAGCTGTGAGCAGGTCATCTCACTGCTGCACAAAGGAACGTGACACAAACTGAGCAATGGGGAGACACAGGAAAGGTTCAATTACAAAATGTGAAGGCCACGTTCACGAGGAAAAAAAGGCTACGTTTCCTTTTAATGCTCAGACATGCTTCCTGGCTAAAGCCCTGCACGCTGCAAATGGAAATAAAAACAGAAAAGCTGCTTGGTCATGATGCTGTCGACTCCCTCTGGCCATGCTGTGAAGAAGGCAGCCCAAATATTCAGCTAGCTCTGTTATTCTATCATCTGAAGAAGAGGTTACTGATTTGTTTCCTTATTTCAGCACAGGAGAGAAGAGCAGCAGACATCTGTGCACCACTTGGATCTTCTGCATTACCCACCGTGCAGCAGAGCTCTACGTGCAGTTTAAAATAAAAAAAGACTTGGCATCACATTTCTACACTTGTCTCTACAAGCATGAGAACCACCAGCTTGGGATTTCTATACAGAACGCCTCACCAGACAGGAGAAGGGGCTGAAAAGCAGAGTAGCTTCCCTGCAGAAAGGCACAGAGGGTTCATTCACTTCATCTGTTCTAGTATGTTATATTTTGACCAGAGGTGTTGAGAGAAAGACAGAATTTAAAACAAAGCCTAGATATCACAAGTCATTACTTGATCTTGGGACCGACTGTTTTTAAGAAAGCTGAAAGGAGAAGTCAGAATTTAAGTACTATTTTCAGAACTATGCAGAATAAGGCTCCCAATTAACAATCATCCTGAAGTACAAGCACTGCTAATTGAGCTATTTTCTTCCTGGTGAGGGAATAAAGGATTTAAACCTTGCTTCACATTGCTGCAGTTACAAAACAGAAACGTTCCCTAAACTCCACACATAATAATTGTTCCAAAGCACAGGGAGGTGAGTAATTAAACGTGGAAAGGCTTTGTGTAGGAAAGGGCAGTGCCAGCAAAAGAAAGCAGGTGACTGCTGGGGAAACAGAGCCCCAGGCACAATGGGGAATGGCAAGGAAGCAGATGGTCAGCTGGAGGGCTCCTTACCTCAGCCCATTCACGATGTCCTTTGTTTTTCCAAAATAAATCTCATTCAGTGTACTTCTGATTTTGTTTTCCATGTCCTGGAAAAGAAAAGTATGAAACCAGTCTTTAGGCTGTTCAGCTGCTTCCAGGACAGTGGCACTCACACTCCTTTGTGCAACTTACACATTCACCTCAATATTCAACAGCGTGGCCCCATCCCTCTGGTCTTACCTAAGCTTAAAAGATTCAGCTCTGTCCCTGCCCACTCCTGAATGTTACTCCAGGAGATAGATGGCTGTTCTCGGCCACAAGAGGGCAGTTTCTGTCCACCTATCTTTTTTCTTTTTTTTTTTTCCTGCATATATCAGCAAAAAAAGTGCATTTCACCTCAATTTTACATGGCAATTTCCTGGCACCCAGCCTCAGGCCTTCAGTCTCGTTGTGCTGAGCACATGGGACCAACAGGTGCCACAAAACCATGAAAAGTAGCAACAATTCCAGTCGACTTCATAAGCACTTGAAACACTGAATTTTTGAGTTCTGAATAACATATCCTGACTTTAAATAACTGTGCCTTAAAAATGACTGTAGAAACGATGAAGGGGGCAGGCTGTTGTTTGCTAGATCTCAGCTTATTTGACAGGAAGATTGCTGCTCTGCTGAGCAGGAGACCAGGTGCAGATGGCCCTTCTGCATCTACAGACTGCTGGAGCACCATTCCCACCACTGGGTGCAGTACAGTACAAACCATTAACTTGCCTGTGAAGCCAAAGGCAAGCAGAACACAGAGTTCTTCAATATGGGTGGGAACCTGCAGCAAGCTGAAGCTACAATGGCTTCACAGCCTTACCTCTACCAAGCGTCCAATATTGGCTATGTGTGGAGAAGAGTCGCTCACAGTCTCATCTTTCTCCATCTGTTAAGAAAAGACACAGATCCATCAGCACTGTGGAAGTCTGATGATGCGTGCACTACAGCTTCACTCCTCAAGAGAAGGGATAAAAGAAGGAGGTCTCAAAATCCTGGACTATCTCTATTCTTTCAGTGTGCAAACAGACAAGTAACACACTGAGAAATGCCCTGAACTAGACAAAGGCTCACATGTTGATAACAGCAATGTGGTGTAATGAAAGCCATGAATCAAAGCAAAACCCTGCAGTAGACTCCTGGTGTAGACAGGCACTACGAAATTGCCATTCCCTACCTACCAAGGGGCTGCAGGAGGTGCACGTGTAGCAGGGCAAGCAGCACAGGAGCACAACATGTGGATGTGAAAACAAGGCTGTTGATGAGATGCACACAAGGATGGTGCTGTCAGTTTAACTGCTGTGAACTATCCCTGCAAAAACAGCTGTTTCATTTCATCTTCATCTCAAATGCTTTTTCCAACCACACATGGGGCACATTCTCCATTTTCAGGATTTCCTGGCAAAAGAAGCCTTGGGTATTACTTACCTTCTAGTAGAGAGGGAAGGAAAAGAGAAATGTAAAAATCACAGCTATCTGCGAGACTACTGATAACTGCATAAACTGCAATTACATGGAAAGAGAAATTTGAGCATTCAGGTGAGATTTTCCATTACAAAGACTGAAAACCAGAAGCTGGCACTGCAGAATGCCTTGTTTTCTATGTTCCAGCTGCCTTTACCCAATACAATGTTCACCCAGGGGCTGTGGATGGCTGTCCAAGATCTGTAAGCTTCAGTTGCCAGGGAAAACGACAATCTTCCCAATTCCCAAGATGAAAATTCTGGCTAAGAGCAGACAAGCTGTTGAGCAATCAGACCCAGGAACCTCAGATGACACAAGATGTGCTGAGATGGCATGGAAGAAAAAAAAAAAACAACTGGGAGAAAAATGTAGTGGGAAGAACAGTCTTCAAAGGGTTTTACTAATCCCACTGAATTCTCTTATCCATCTGTTCATATCCCTCCCTCAGGGTAGAGTTTAAATATCTGGGCCAGCTACAGGTTTCTTCTAATAAGCCAAGTCTCTAACAGGCTTAGGGAAGCATGTAATTTAGTTGGAACCCTGAAGGCAAAAAGATAACCTGGGGGGGGTAGAAAAAGAGTAAGAACGTTTAAATTCTTCCTTTAGATTACAGTCAGATTGTTTACATGTAATGGAGACACGTTGCCTGAAGAATGGATCCAGTTGTGGGAGAAGGAGAAAATAAATCTGAACTATGCAAACACACACACATACAAGTTATGGTGAGTTTGGGAACCAGCAGCAAATGGATCAGATCTGGGGCTGCGGGGCAGCTGGCAGTGGGTCACTGACTTTGACAAGCTCTCCACCATGTCTCCTCCACTCGTGGCCACAGCAACTTCATGGGTAAGAAACAGCAACTGAAAATAGATTCTTTTTTCTTTTCAAAACTTGTATTATTACATCTCCATAAAATCTGCTGCCAGAAGGAAAACATTTTTTATGTGCTATAGAAGCCCAGATGTTATGGGAGGCTGTTTTAATGGAGTTCAGAGTCAGTAAGCAGCCTGTTATACACACAGCAGAGTTGTTGGGACTTTTAAAGGTTCCTTCCGTTGGTTGTCACTGCATGGACCTAGGCAGAAAGCCTACAGCCACTTAAATAAAGGGGTTAATTTGCACAGAGGGGAAATTCCATTCTCTATGTTGATGTTAACAAGCAGCTCATCTTCCCACTGTCCCTGCCCATCTGCCACTGAGCTCAGCCAAAAACCCTAATGCTCCAGAAGGAGCCAAGTCCCATCCCCATGGCCCAGTCTCTCCTCTCCCATTCGAGGGAGATGCTGCCTCGTTTCCTTGCCTCGTTTCCCCAGCCATCTGCTGCAGGTCTGACTCAGAAGGAAACTCACTCTTCTGGGCATATTAAGCTCTCGATGGCTGGCTGGTCACTTGGGTTGTTTCCTGCATGGAACACAGCAGCTGTTTGGGCTTTCTGTAAATGTTATTTGGAGGAAGAGTTAAGACTGAATGAGAAACGTAAGTTGGATAAACACTGGTTCATCATGAAAGCATCTAAGAATACTAGAAAGATAAGAGAGAAACTCATCCACAGAAGAACTGACGACAAACAGCCACAGCTGCTCTGGCCACGGAGCGACGTGAAAATCCTCTTAATGAAACACAGACCAACGTGAGCCAAAGGCTCCCAAACCACAGGCAGTGGGCAGAGTGAAGTCTCCAGGTGGAAATTATGTGGAATTATTTGGATATCAATGAAACAGAAATTGGCCTTTTTCTCCAACGCTTATTTCAAACTCTAAGCAGATAAATGAAGGCTGTGAGCTCCACACAGCTTACGGTGCTGCAGAAATCAGCCAAGAGCTAACCTCATCTTTTCATGGCCTTCAAGCACATTTATTCCCATCAGTGTAACCAAACTACATCCCCCACCCCTTCCCAAACTGCACCTTCTAAACCATGAGCAAAACCAGTGATACCACACCAGCTCTCCATGCCAGTCTGTTCTTGCTCATCTCTTCTACTCTCTCATCCTAAACCCTGGTCTGGTATTAAATGGGGAGGTTGGTGGCCCTGCCTGTGGCAGGGGGTTGGAGATTCATCATCCTTGAGGTCCCTTCCAACCCTGGGCATTCTGTGAATCAGTAAAATCAGTGTGCCAGGTAAAGCAGAAAGCTTCCTTTTGCTGTACAATTACTGCTCAGTACATCTCTGCTATTCTCTGCACCCCAAAATGCCTCCAGGAATTGGGAAAACGGCATAAGGAGTCTGACAGCTACAACTCACAGATTCCTCCATTGGAAATACACTCCTGAACACCCCGTTCTGCCTCAACATCTGGAAGTCAGTGGGATAGGCCTTTACATGAAAGCTCAGCTTGATGAAAATATATGACTTGCCTAATTGCAGAGCACTAGCCTCAGAGGATTTACCTATTATGATAAATGGCAGAATGTCTCTGCTGGTGCTTTATTGAGCAGTAATATATCACAGAGCACATCTTCCTGTGCGCAGGAAAAGCTCATATTGCAGCAGACCAGCCTTCATCCAGCCCTGCAAAACATTCCACCTTTGCTACAGAGTATTTCAAGCACGAAAATCAACATACATCTGCGTTGCTTTAATCTGAAATCCCAGGCTTCACTTCCTCTACAACTTTATAACCTCCTCTTCCCATACCTCCAGATGTAAATAAACTCCAGGTTTGGAGCCAACATCTTCCTCAGTGAACTGGCACTTCCTCACGATGCTCACCCTGGCTTAGGAAACACAGATGGGTTCTTTGTGCACAGCAGGAGCTCAGCAAGGCACCTGTTAGCCTTGCTTTTAAGGATGGGACTGCAGAAAGCTGTCCAACAAAGTGCACATCTGACTGTTTGCCAGACACTGGAAGGCTCCATCTACTCTGCGTAAAATGAAACAGGACCACACGATTGCTCTGACTGAAATAAAAGTGCAGCCTGATGCAAGCACAAAGCTTGGTTGAAGCAGCACTGTGGTGAACAGCACAAGTAATTGCAGCACACACAGAGGATGGGACCCTAACGTCTGTCAGACAGAGAATCATCTGCCAGGCATCTGGCTCCAATCAGGATGGGGTGAGAGCTACCTGCTGCCATTGGAGTGCGTGCAAGGCAATTGAAAAGCTGCTGGCATTTTTCATTTCCCTGTAAGCACCACTCCTTGCTGCAAACTGAAGGCAGTGTGTCCTGTCCTCTCCTCTCAGATGTACAGCACTCCGATCTGCGGCCCCTCACTGACGCAGACAGCACAGAACACACCGAGTTCTCCTTCCCTATCCAAATTCCAGCCTCGCTCCCTGTATTTACTGAAGCCTGCCAGTGTCAGATGTGAGCTGGGAGCTGCTTCCTCCGTCCTGGCTGTGGTGCAGCAGCTCCATGCTCTCTTGAACAGCATCCAGGCTCGTCCCAGAACACAAGCTGCATAGGGAGCACTGCAGGAGCAGGTCTCTATCTGACTCTTCTTGCCTTTTGGGGCAAGACAGTAGCAATGGATAATGAATGGATAAAGCAAAAGCCTGAAGTTCTCATTTAGAAAAACATCAGGCTAAGTGAAGCTACATAAAGACGTTTGAGCTCCTAAAACAGGACAGCTCTTCAGTGTCTCACATCTCTCCTTCCTTATTCTGCCTACTAACAAATGTAAAATGCTGTAGAGTCAGCTTCCCATTCTAAACAGAGACAACACTAAAGGAGACACAGGGCAGGGAAATGACTTCTGGCTAGCCAGAGCGTAACTTCAATGGCCCAAAGTCAGCTGTAAAAATACTGAGATCCACAGCATCTGGGAAAGAGAGGCAAAAAAAAAGGTTTTACTCTTAAAAATTCTCTGCAACACTTAGGAAGAGCCTAAGCAGGAGGATTCCAGGAACAACTCTGAGGATAATCTAGAAACGCACAGACACATTTTTCCAAACAGTCTCAATAAAATCAACAAAGAGAAAAACCAAAAAGCAGTACGCTGGTGTCTGATGCGTTGCAACAATGCTTCACCAATAGGAAACGAGAGCAGAAAATATTTTAAGCTCTTACTTCCAGATCCAGTCCTACCACAGTACCGTGCTGTCCACTCACAGAACAAACAGGACTGCCTGACTGCTTGCACCGAGTGCCATCTGCACACACCAGCAAGGGGAATTACTGAGCAAGGGTTTCCATATGAAGCTGCAAATGCTCCCCATAGCATTTCAATGTGAGCTGTGCCCAGCTCTTCGAAGCTGCCAGAGGTGGTGAATTAGGAGGCATTACATGAGCCTGCTCCTGGCCACCAAGGGAATCGTTCCAGTCATCACTCGACAAATACCCGATTTGCAGCTAGGAGGTGAAACTGGTTTCAAAGTAATGGCTCTCAACAGACTTCCTTTTCCAAGCACTGAAAGGTTCTCCCTGCCATCAGCAAATAAGCCAGGATATTACAAAACTTGTGAACACTTCAAAAGCTTCCACTGAAACACAAGGACATCTGCTATTTGCATTTTAGGATCAAAGGTGGTCAAGTAACTTAAATGTTGACCAAAAACATGAACAATCTACTATAGAGAAAGGTGTTTTGTCATGATGGTTAGAACAGCAGCTCACTGATACTGTCAAACTGTAACAGCCAATAACAAGATAACTACAGCCTACTGTTGGTGCCTGAGTTCACTGCAGACTGTATAAAAAGCCCACCAAAAAGCAAATCTGGAACTGCTGTCCCATGAAGCACGTCGTGGCATCTGCAAAGCACAGCTCTGCAGCCCAGAGCTGAATTCTACAACGCAAGTTTCCATTGTTTGTGCAGAAGCAGTGCATCATTACCCCAGTGGCTCCTTTATGGTTACTTACATTGGAAGCAGGCCCCTGCTTTAATGCATCGCATATGAATTAAATGATCTGCTGTTAAAATGATGACAGAAGCATGAATCTCCTCACCAAAGCTGAGAGAGTGAAAGTCAAACTAAACAAGGCCAAGCAGTTCAGGCCAAGGTGTACTGAGGACACCCATTCTCAACAGACCCTTGTTTCCCTTGGCATAGCTCTCACACACCATAAGGCCATGGCCAGAGTCAAGCCCTTGGCGTCCACTTCACAGCTGTGATTTGAAGTATTAGGAAGGCCTGTGATTAAATATTTGTCTGGGTCACCATAACTCGAGTGTAATTACTGCAAACACTTTAAAAGAGTATGCAATGCTCAAAAACCAGCTCCAGATGCCTCTTTTTCACCTCCTGTTTTTCTATCAGCTTCTTCTGTAAATCAACAAGGTGGAAAGAAAAATCTAGGGCAAGCTTCCACGTCTGCAAGACTAACACAATTCAGTTCCTCTCTGTGATCGTAGATCCTTTGTTCCTTTGCCTGCCTCGAACCTGTACAAAACCACGGGCTGCTTAACAGAGTCTGCATTGTCCTTTGTATCGAAAGCAACAGGCTGCTCTGGGAAGTCTCATAAAGGAGTTTTAGCAACTGCCAATCTCTCCAGTCACTCATGACCACACAATATGCCTCCTGTCCCTCTGAGTTTATTACTCTTTGCGAGTCACTGACTTCCACAACCCCAATTCATGCAGTACACAGACAGCAACCTCTGGCAGGTGGCTGGGGCAGAGGCACCTTCAGCTGTGCCAGAGCCTTTGACAGCAGTGCTGCCTAACAGTCAGCATTCTGGCACCTTCTGTCTGAGAAACAGCTTTCTCAACAGGAAGCCAAAGCAATTTGCACTGGAATAAGAAACAAATGCTTAGAAGACATGTAATTCTTTATCATTGTCCTGGTACTGCAGGAGTGAAACACTGAAGGATACTAAAAAATACTTAAAGCCTTTAAGAGCAGAAGAATTGTATGGTCCAAGCAAAATACAGGGCTGGCCACAGTGGCCTAGCTGGTTTTTAAAAAAAGAGATGGAACAAAAAAGGTCATCTTATTTTTTTATAATCCTACTGCAATCTTCTGGTAACAGTGTGGGCAAACTTAAAAACATCTGTCCATGCAATGCGTGCAGAAGTATAAGAGTTCAGGAATACTGAACACAAAATTAAGACTTAAATGAACATCTAAGCTCCTGCTGAACGCTTTGTATTTCTAATTGAAAGCTATACTGCCATCAACCCAAATTCAAGGGGCTTCCTGGTAACCACACACTTGTGCCTTAACTTCTTCACTGGAGTGCACATGCAGCATGAGAACAGCACTGATCCAACACCTCACAAAATGAACTTTTTGCTCCTGACTGAGGCTACTGGGTAAATAAATCAGGAAGGGCGTGCAGGTCTGCAGTGTGCACTGGTGCAGTATGCAGACGTACCTGTCTGGTAAGGCTCCCGCCAAGGTTCATGGTACCAGAACCAGTTTTATTAGTCTGCAGCCACAGCATCACTGTGGAGGTCAGCTTGTAATGAGCAGTACGACCGCTGGATTTCTCCTGGAAGAGGGAGGACAAGAAAAAGGAAAAACACAAAAGGTGACAAACCCTCCAGAAACTGAAAAGTGGCTGGCCATAGAGCTCCATGAGTAAAAGGGCAGATGCATGTAACTGCAATTACAGAGCGCAGCCTGTTTCTTAAAAGCAAGCACAAGTGTGCCTATTTTCCCAGTTCTCCAAAAGCAAATCTTGCTAAAGCAATTTAACCTCCCGTCACCTCGTTTTTATTACCTAATTAGTGATATTTATCTGTAAACCTTTATGTTTTTTAAGAAAAAAAAAAATAATCTCAGGATCGCGAGTATAGAAAGCAACATACCTTCAATTCTTCTGGGATTCCTTTTGATTACAGCCCTGACTTATCTCTATCCAAATTGCTTCAGGGAATTTTCAAAATTAACAGGGGAAAGAAGTTTACAGCCCCGAACACAATATTGCATTGTTCTGTGGAACACCTGTGCTTGTTAATTGTCTGGAATTAACTGGGTTTTGTTTTCACTTAGGAATATCAGCTGCCCCAGAGGCTGTACCTGAACCTCCACCACGTGGATGGAATCCCAGCATCCCTTAATCTTCTTTGATCCATCTCCAGCTTTCTTAATGAGGATCACACCGGCAAAACCATGATCCAGATCCCAGAGGTAGACAGAGGAGACTCCACCTTCGAAATACCTGCAGGATGCAATCCAATAGGCATGTTAACAGCAAGCAGGATCCAAGCTGGAGTCAGATAATCATCTTAAATAAGCAGAACCTCTACATCTTAACAAAGACTTTTTGATTGTAAGACGGCCCAGTCTCAATGGTTAGATACCTAGAAACACAGCAGTTGACATGATTTTATAATACACAGATTTTAACTGCAACAAGACTGTATTTCTCTAAAGGAGAATAAAAGCCTGGTGAGAAACAGAGCAAGTTGCACATTTCTACAGTACTTGAGAAAACAATCCCTCTGATTCCAATTAACTGTAACAGCTGGTGAAAGCACAAGCTACAAAGCAGGCTGAGAGTAAGGCTCTATTTTACAGTTTTTGATTTTTTTTTCCTCCTTCTCTTTCTCTATCGAGCAAGTCTGGAAGTTCTTTACAACGCAGCCTGCTAATTAAGACAAAAGGGAGCAAGTAAGCAGCCTCATGCTGGATCTCAAGACTCTGTGTGAGGCTGACTTACTGACTGCAAACAGAGCTGAACCAAAACCAAAGTCCTGAGGAACAAAGGGGTGTTGTTTAGGTTCACATCATACTCCAGCTTCAGATACAGCAGAGAACAAGCTAAACCACCTCAACCTCACGTTTCAGGTAGCACAAGGTACGTACTAAGAGAACTAACAAAACAGTGACACCTGCAGAACTCAGCTGCTTTCTAGCACTGGTGCTCTGTATTCCTGCTTCTTGCTACACAAGCAAGACGATCACGAGGATCTGCAAGTGGCTGCACGTTTCTCCTCTCCAGCAAGAAATGGAAACATCGCTCATCGCCAACATGAAAAACAAGTTGGAGCCTCCTGCCTTCGTGCTCCCCTCCTTTCTAAACACCAGCCTGGCAGTTGTCAATGGCACTTCAGATGTGATTTACGGTGCATTCTGGACTTGGCATATCAGCTTGAAGCGCTGTGGATTCAGGAACACCAACCCACCTTCCACAAGCTGGGAGAAAAAACATCAGGAATGCATTGCAAATAACCTGTGCTGCTCTGCACATTTGATCTGCATTTACAGGCCAGTCTAGCATGCTGTTGTAAGGCCGAGTCACCAAAACAGCCCTGATTCTTTACAACTGTGTGCATGCATAACTGTGTAACTGAAGAAACAAACACACAGCACCATCCTATGACATTTGTTAAGGCGCTGCCTTTAAAGGAAAGCCCTGTGCTCTGCAGGTGTGCTGAAGCCAGGCTTCCAGCAGGCAATTTGAACCTAACAAACCAACAAACACCCTTTTTATGTCCCCTGGGGAATTCACAAATGGATTTTGGTTAATGCAGTTAACAGGAGTTTCAGGACTTCAGCAAGCTAAGTTCTGATTCTGATGTTGAGTTCTGATGCTTCCTTTGACTGAAGGGCTTGAACCAAAGGCCACAGAACCCAAAGCACTGCCCACTTCCACAGCAAGTTTGCTTAAAATATTCATATAAAGAATAAGTGAATTCAGTCAAAATAAACTGGAAGTCTCTGGGAATATTACCATGTACACAGAGAGTTTCCCTATTACCCACTTTATGAGCTTGCTACAAGCATGAAACATTAATTAAGAGAGAGACCAAAACAAGGCTTTTGGAAATTCATCCTTACCTACTGTACTTTGATCCTAATGACATGAAACGGGAAAAAAAGAATAATTTTATGTGGTTCACCTTTATGAGATTCTACATAAAGGCTTTTGTGGGTATTTTAAGAATGTGCTAAAATGTTGTCTGAAACCACATAAAACCATCTGAAGAACCCCCCGCCAGAACTAACAGCACACACATGGAAGTGCTTTAACTTGCCTGTGTATATTTAATGAATCAAATATAGCATTAACATTGCTTTAAATGCTAATGTGCTACTTCAATGAAGTTGCTCTAACATCGTATATGGATGCTCCAACAATAATGGCAGTGATTGAACCATCATGAATCCGAGGCACGCTGCGATGGAAACGACCCAAGGCTTTCTCTGTGTCTCATCAATCCTGAACCATTCCACTCATTCCTCCTTTGTGGGGAGAAAACCTACAGAAAATGACCATTGTAGAGCCTACATTTCCTCATGCTGTAAATGAACTGAAGGGAGGCTTCTGAAGACTATTTGAAGCCATGTTTGGGGGGGGAAACATTCCTTGAAAGCTGTTTTCTTCAAGAAAAATTAAGAAGTAATACAGGTTAATTGGCTGCTGCATAATAGAAAATGGGATGACAGACAGGTTGGTAGGAATTTAAACCTACATTCATAAACTTGGAATTGCTGCATGAAGGTTGGATTCTCTCCAAGAAACCCCTTTAATGGTGATTGAAACTAATTATTATTTACTAAAATCCTACATCTCTCTGGGACAGATCCTCCTTTACCTACAGCAAAATGAAGGGAACAACAAAACACATTGTTTTCTAGCTATCAGTCACATCCCCCCATTGCCAAGCACCATGCCAATGCCACCACCTGCTCTGAGGACGGCCAGTGCTCCTCCATCTCCAGTAGAATCAGCTTTTATGTGGCTGCCCAAGAAGGTGACTGAGAGCCATAAACCCAACATAACCGCTCCTATTATTTTCTCTGTGAAATTCAGTGTAGCATTTCACTCAAAATCAATTCTAGCTCTAAAGCCACGATCAAACACTTCAGTTTCATACCCGCTACTCATCAACCACAAAGCTCCTGGAAAAAAAGCTGTTTTATACAAAAAAGTCACACTTAGGACTGACCTACTTTACAAACGCAGGAATAAAGGGAAGTATTTAAGCTGAGGGTGATCCAGAGCTTTATGAAGTGTTTGAAGTTCCAGCGGGTGGAGATGCAGGATGGAAATTTAAGGAACCTGAGCTGCATCCATCAGACAGAGGCTGTGGCCAGAACAAAGCTGTGACTTCAAGAGGGACCTGACAGATTCCTCAGTACAGGACAGGTTCTTAACGTTGCCACTAAGGAACACATCAGAAAAGACACCATAACCTTCCTGATAGCATTCTGCTTCCCAGAAGCCTTGCAAATGAATACTGGACTGTATGCTGAGAAAATGAGTTTCCACCACACGGCAATAAAAAGAAGCCATGACTCTCAGTTACACTCTAGAACCAAATCATTCATCCATAAAAACTCTTGTGAGTTTTCCAGTAGGGAACTGAATGCCAAAGGCTGTGGGTGGGTTTTTGTAGCTGGCTTAGGACTCTTGCAGCAACAAAACCCTGATGCCAAAGTACCATTACTGGGATCTCAGATGGGCCATGCAAACCTTCAAAAGAGGCGCAGTGCTTCAAGCTGGCTCTTGCAAAGAAGTAAAATATTTTGTTTTCTCAAGGCTGTATGGATACTTCTTCCAACTGCAGAAGTCCAGCATGGAAAGGGAAATGTCTCTATTCAGACTTCCAAGAAACCTATCTTAAAAAAAAACTACCCCAAGGGGAAATACTAAGGGTTCACCTACAGATGTTTGTGCTGCAGTGACAATGACTGGGTCACAACCAGAGCAACCCAAAAACATGATGAGGTGAGGAAGGAGACACCTCACCTCCTATTAAAGCAGATGACATTGGTGCCATGTGACTTGGTACAGCTTCCCCCCAGTCCTTCCTCTGTGCCTGCACCCTGTTGTTTCAAACACAAACAGCAACAGAAACATGAAGTGGGCAATTCCAGCAGCTCACTCCCTACCAAACCCAAAACATTGTTGAGGTGGCTGTTCCAATCACCTGCAGACTTGTAGCTCAAGTCAGGGGGGAAAAAGTCTTTAGGACAGCAGCTGACACCAAATAATTTTGCTGCCTGTGTCCAGCTTTCTAGTAACGATGCTCAAAAGCTAACTCTCTAAAAAAGGCCAGCCTGCTACCAGAAGTAACACCTCTCCTGCTGGCCTGCACATAAATGATTGAGAATTCGCCTCTGCCTTCTCAATCCCAGGGGTGCAACCATGTAACACGTAAAGAATGTTACCTAAATACTTGCAGAGAGGAAGGTAAAATGTTTGTGTATTCAGAGCAGCTGTTTTTTTCACTGCAGTTTATGAACGCAGCCCAAACTATGCCCGTGGACTCTGCACAGGTATTTTACTGACATTCTTTCCAGCATACACAGGTGCAACAGTCCCTGGAGCAAACATACCAATCTTGTTAGGTATGTGTAACTTCAATGCCAGTTGTACTTAAAAGCACACATCTGGACCGTGGTGGGATGACTCAAACTGTGAAGCAGAGTTGTGAAGTGCAAGAACTCTGCATGGAGCGAAAACAGTACCCAAACAATGGGATCCAATGGGATCCTGAAGGCTAAATATCCCCAGGACCTTGGGTTTTCTGCTTTTTAGTACCTTTCATTATTTAAAAAACAAAACCCTGCATTGCTCACACCTTCCTTACCATCCAACTGCTCTCAGAAGATGGAAACTACAGACCAAATCCCTTTTGAGGAGTCACCTGGAAACAGCTCCATTAGCCACCTAATAATCAAGACAATGGGTCATTTTGTACCGAGTCCAAAGGGGGAAGTGGCTCATTACCAGCCAGGAAGCACCAAATGCTCACAAATCTCTCACCCGTGCCCATCCTTGGAGCAGCCTGTTCTGCACAGCCCACTGCTTCATCAGCCACCAGTCTGACACATTTCAGACACTGCCAGCTACAATTCCTGGATGGGTAGGAGGGGAGAAGGCAGCAGCACAAGTCTTGTGTGTCATGTACTAAGTGTGCCAAAGCCAGAGCAGGCTAGAGATTTCATGCAGCTTCTTCCTTCCAATATGCATCCATCACATACACTGCAAGATGGCTAGTGCTTGCTCTTAAATTTGTCTTCCATTTTCCACCCTTTGAACACCGTTCATTTGTGACAGTGCTGGCTTCCTAACACAAGCTGCCCCTCTTGTGCTGAGGCTTTATGTAATCATAGGGAACCATGGGAACCCAAGGGAAAAACTCCTCCTGTTCTGAAAATCTCAGATTCAGAAGATAAGAATGCAGCCTGTGCAGATATAATCCAAAA